CCTACTCCCTGTGTGCCTTGCCTCCACGTACTTTTAGTAACTAATTTAAAAAAGACGCTTTTAGATTAAGATGGAATAAAACAATTTGTTGAAGCTAGTTTTTGTGGCCAAATGAGGGGGTATGATGAAATACTTAAAGGTTTTTTTATACCGCTTGAAAAAAAAATAGAAATAGGGTCTACCGTGAAATAAGATGACGAATTAGGGGATCTATACGAAATTTTCCCTAATATATTTCAATTTTCAATCTTTCAATAAATCTTAAATAATGTTTAGAAATGTGGTTTCAATACTGAAAATTTTTGTATTAGCCTTGAAATATATTTTCATATGTAATTATAAAATTTAAAGCTTAAAAAATAATGTAGATTGAACGGATCTACAAAACCTTTAAAATCTTGAAAATTGACGATCCAAAATTGCGTTACAAGATGCACTATTTCCAAAACTTGATATTCATTTTTTTTTCTCATGTCCATGCACCTTGTTGTCGAGATGATCAATTTGAGGATATTTGAGCATTAAAACAACCTCTTGAGGTGAAATTTTTTATATGGGTTCTAATTTGATTGTTTAGAACCTCAGCTCTATATAAACGTTTTCCTATAGCTTATGATGCCACACTCTTCTCATTCTAGTCTCTACCCTTGTGGAAAGACCATAGCGTGAGCTTCTTTTCATACCTTTCTTTATCATCCTTGACCCTATTGTTTTTAGGAGCCTCCTCCTCTCTCCCTTAAAACCAACCCACGCCCGCCCTCCCCCTGCTTCTATCCATCCATCTATCAGATGCTATCGGACCATCATGGCCATTTAATGGATTTTGGACAATAATGAGTTATGAGTGAAGTATTGTACAAACTCACTTATAGGTATTTTTTAGGTGTTTTTTTTAAGACATTTATATAGTATCTTATATAATCTTTTTAGATATTATTATTTGGAGCCTGACATGGGCTTAGGCTGATTTGGGCCGGGCCCTAGCCTTGGCTGGAAATTGCTTTTCAAGCTCAGCCAGGCCCAGCCTATGAGGGGCTAGTCTGATCCCAGCCCATTGGTACCACCTACCGATACTTGGGCTTATCCAAAAACAAAATCAGCTTAATTGAGAATAGTTTAGAATCGATTGTTAACTAGTTAGACATTTCAACTGATTAAATAAACAAAATTAAATTAGACAATATTTTCAATATGTTTCATAGCATTATTGTTATTGTTATTACTTGAAACATAACTTTTATTATAATAAATTATAAAACGATACCCAAAAAAAAAAAGAAGTGGAGGACAGAAAATTAAAATTTAATAAAGGAGGAAAAAGTAGAAGATATAGAGGGAGGGTAGAGGAAGGGAGAGAAGAGAGGAGGGGAACATTAAAATAAGGGATGGTATATAATAAAACTATTAAAAAAAAAACAGATTGTATGTGACCATTTATGTTTGGTACAGGAGGTCACAATTACTTACAATCATCCGATGCAAAATCTGATAGCTTGGGTCTGTCACAAAGGTCAATAAAATAAATGCAATCACCCAATTTCACATCTAATAGTCAATATTAATTATAACCACATTGTACCAAAAGTAGATGGTCTCATTATATATACTTTTTCTCAAAAGGTCGACAAAGAGAAGGTGATGATGGAAAAGGAGAGAGCAAAAAAGAGACGGATACGACACAGAGACGAAGGAAATGGACAAAAAGAAAAGAAAAAGTTTATATAAGGTTGCAACCTCCCTATTATTAGGTGAACAATGCGGACAACTAAACCCTTTCCCAAAGAGCCAATGGCCTAATGGTCATTTTTCCCTGTTCAGCAATTTTGGGAATTGCCTAACAATACTTACTTTTGGAATATAAACTATAAGAATATATATATCCCCTATCCCGGATGCTTGGTGGTAGTTTTGATATACTCTCTCTCCGGTGGGCAAAGTAGTTGGACAAACCTCATAAACCATAAACCTAATTAAAGGGCCAATAAGAACCAGTTAATGGTAGAGCTTATTGATTTCATCCCAAGCTCTGCCTAATCTTACACATATTTGGTTCAAAAACCAAACCAGGAAAAAAATTATAGATTATTGGTGATTCAAGAATTCCTTTATCACATCTCTATCCCAATTCAGAATCTAGAAGCACATGGCACATTCTTCAATTACTTTAGAGCACATCATGTACTCAGGCACCTGACCAGATGGGGTAACCTTTTATAGTGAAACCCCAATCGATTAATTATAGAAAATGAAATAAAGAAAAAAAATTCTAGACATTTACAGCATTATTTAGATCAGTTTGAGGAACTCATATGTTTCTTTCAAAGAAATGCAACCTCTCTAGGAAGGACATGTGCAGCTCTTTAATAGCAAGGATAGTAAGAAAAATGAAACAGATTATTATATTGCACAGGATTGTATAAATAATTATAAAACGAATAACATGGGGTAATAGGATATGGATGGAAGTAATGAGAAGAGATATGACGACTTATGGTTTGACTAAGGGTATCGCCCTTGATAGAGTGGAATGGCAAAACATGACTCGTTTAGCCGACCCCAAATAGTTAGGGACAAGGCTTGGATGATGACAATGATGATGATGAATAACACAGGGTAATCCTACACTTACAAAGATGATTTCACTCAGAATTTATGGCCGATAAGCATAAATATAGTTTGAAAGTGGAGGATCAACAAAAGAGTGCCTTTTCAAGGAACGAGTCTGTTCGATTGAGAGTTAAAGGACAAACAAGCATTCCTGCATAAATGAAAAAGATACCACCACTTCCATAGTAGCATAGCTATTGTTATACTGGAAGCCCTTCATGTTTTGACATGATTGTCCCCAAAAAGCATGGAAAGTGTGAAATTTTGACAGCAAGCATGCTATCATACACAAGCTAAAACATATCCAGCATAGGAGGTAAATGATTTCTGCACCCATTTGTGACTGTGAAATCTCTAAACTCTCTATTTATCTGAGACATTGCAAAAAGATGACAAGTTTATATATTTACCAGATATTTATGTGAAAGTTAGCAGTCACTTGAAATAACCATGTCAAAGGAACCCCAAAAATTGATCCCATAACTTCAAAATAAGGCAGTCAATAATAGGGAATATCTCTTGGATAAAACAAGTGAAACTAATTTTGAAGATAAAAAACATCCAATCACTAAAAGCATGTCACGCCACTTGACCATCAAGTGTGAAAACACAAAAAGATGAAACTGGGACTATATTCGGAGCCTTTCCTTGAACAAATTGAGCAGATGTAAATATGATAAAATCAGGCCTCTTATCTAAAACACAATTTAGCATACTAAAACTCTGAAGAGAAAACAATTTGATACATTAAAAAAGCATGGAAGACATATTAAATTGATGCAATTACCATGACAAGTTCATAACTGGCTTCCAATGGCCAAGACCATAAACTGATCCAGTTGTTACAAATAAACTCAGGGGAGGACTAAAGGGAAAATAAATAAGAACAAAATTCTAACCAAGTAAAATTCCAACATTCAAAGGATTACATACCAATGAATCCATAGGCACCCATTACAATTAAGCTGCCAAAATCCGTACTTATTGAACAAGCAAACAACATTGTAAACCAAGTAAACAAAGCAACTCCCCTTATTAATTGCAATGTCGAAGTTGCAGGCCAAAAGACTCACATCTTTGCTTGCTTCGCGATCTTAAACCACTCGGTGTGGAAGGAACCGGGCATATCAGTCCTTTCATAAGTATGAGCTCCAAAGTAGTCCCTTTGTGCCTGTACTAAATTTGCAGGCAACCTCTCCCTCCTATAAGTATCGAAATATGCCAAACTTGCACACATACCAGGAGTGCTAATGCCTGAATTGATAGCCAGGCAAACAACCCTACGCCAAGCTGACTGGCGCTCAACTATCTCCTTTGCAAACTCAGGATCAACAAGTAAGTTGGCGAGCTCAGAGTTCCTGTCATAAGCCTGCTTGATTCGGTCCAAGAAAATTGCTCTAATGATGCACCCACCTTTCCAAATCCTCGCTAGCTCACCGAGCTTCAAGTCCCACCCTTTCTCCACACTCTTTGCTCTAATAAGATTCATCCCTTGAGCGTAACTGCAAATTTTTGATGCATAAAGTGCTTTCCTAACTTCATCAATCAATTTTGACTTGTCCACAAATCCATGATCACCCGAAATTATATCATCCATTCCCCCATGTTTGAAAACCTTAGCTGCTTCCACCCTCTCATCCTTTAACCCACTCAAAAACCTTGAATCCAAGGAAGAAGCGATCGTTGGGGCAGCCACTGAGAGGTCAGCAGCTTGCTGAACAGTCCATTTACCAGTTCCTTTCATGCCAGTCTTGTCCAATACCTTATCAACCAAATACCCATCTCCCTTATTATCCTTAATGCTGAAGATATCAGCAGTGATCTCAATTAAGAAGCTCAATAGCTCTCCCCTGTTCCACTCTGCAAAAACCTCGTGCAATTCCTCATTCGAGAGCTTGCCCACTGATTTTAAAACATCATAGGCCTCAGCAATAAGCTGCATATCGCCATATTCAATACCATTGTGGATCATTTTCACAAAATTACCAGATCCACCTTTGCCAATGTAGGTGACGCATGGGCCACTATCAGGGACTTGGGCTGCAACCTTAAGAACTATGTCCTCTATGTATTTGTAGGCCTCAAATGAGCCTCCAGGCATAAGAGAAGGGCCATGTCTAGCCCCTTCTTCACCTCCTGAAACTCCCATTCCCAAATAAAGAAGACCCAATTCAGCCGCGGCCTTCTCCCTCCTCTCTGTGTTCTCATACCATTCATTACCACCATCAATAATACAATCTCCTTTCTCCATATAAGTAGAGAGAGTTTGTATGGTTTGATCAACTGGGGCCCCAGCTTTTACCAACATGATCACAACTCTTGGTTTTTGGATCGACTGGACGAAGGATTTGGGGTCATGGAAACCTCTTAGGTGGAGGTTTCCTTCTCGTTTTGCTCTCTCGACTGTTTCGTCAACCTTCGATGTTGTTCGGTTATACACAGAGATGGGGAAGCCTTTCTCTGCGATGTTTAGAGCGAGGTTTTGGCCCATGACTGCAAGGCCAGCAAGGCCTATTCTTGAGAGAGACTCTGCCATCTTTTGAGGGTTTTTTTTTTTTCTATGAGGGGAATCAAAATTGAAGCCTCTGTATGATTCTGCAGAGAGAATTGCAAAAATGTGCTTAGTGGATCATCTCAGCCCGAAAAGAGCAATGGAAATTATGATTATAATAACAATAATAGAAATAGAAGGTAAAAAGATAAAAAATTGTTAAACATAAACAGTCTAGAATTTCAGGAGGGCTACATAGATAAACATACATAGTGATAATAAATGGATCAAAATTCTAACAACCTAAAACTTCAAGAGAGGAGAAAGTGATAGAGATAAACATTATAAATGGATCAAAATGCTCAAAAAAAAAAAAAAAAAAAAAAAAAGAACTATCCAGTGAGAGATGATAAATGGATCTGAATGCGAAAGAACCAACAACCTATAATTTCAGGGAAAAGAAACAGAAAAAGAAAAAAGAAACTTAGAAATCCCTCCCCCAACCCCCAGAGAGAGATCAAAATGCTAGAAAAATGCATTCTGGATTTTCAAGAGAGAGATCAAAACGCTAGAAAAAGACAATCCGGAGTTTCAAGAGAGAGAGGCATAGATACATCAGAGAGAGGTATATATACAACAAAAGCCAACAAAAAGACCGCCTACGATTTGAAGTGGTGAAATTAATCAAAATGCAATGAGAGACCAAACAGAATTTTAAGAGAGAGAGAGAGAGGCCCATACCTTAACTTTTGCCTGGAATTGGGCAGTAGCTGGATGGGTCCGAAAACTTAAAAGACTCGATGCTTTCAGAGGGAGAGAGAGAGGATTTGTAAAGGTAAAGTTGCAGAAGAGGAAGGCAAGGAGGAGCAGGAAGGTTACGTGTAATTGGTAAGATATCCCTAGAAAGTAGGTATATGTAATTTGGACATCATTTTCCTCATTTTATATGGTGGCCAAGAGTCCGTGGTGGTTGTAGGTCAATTTTGGCTAACTAAAACAAGTAAATTATGACAATAAGATCCATGTTAAACCCACATAAGTTTTTTTTTTTTTTTTTTTTTCAATTTATAAATTAAGGGAGTTTGGTGGTCACATTTGATTGGCACCAAAGAGATAGGGAGGACAATCAACTAAAAAAAATGATTTATCGTAAAATAATTAAAGGGTTATGTGTAATTTATTATTATACTCAATAAAATTTAGACACTTATATGTATTTGTTTTGTACATAGAGCTTTTTTTTTTCTTTTTAGATAAAAATTTATATAAGGATGCAACCTTATAATGTAGAACTGCAGATGCACTTCAAAAATCATTAGAAAAGGTCATTTTAATGTGAGGAAAACCCTTTGATTGATCATCTCGACATTTAGATGTATGAGCATAAAAAGTATAACGATTTTAAGTCTCAGAAATAATGTATTTTACAACATATTATCTACACCATCCATTTTCAAGATTTTTATATGTTTATAAATCTCCTTGATTTTAGCTATTTTTAAAATTTAAAATTTTACAATTAGATATAAAAATAGATTTTGAGATAATCTTAAGAACATTTTACATCAAAATTATATACCATGATAAAATTTGAAGGTGCACATTACCTCTACAGCCACATATGCATCCGTATGTCATCTGCACCTATATTTTTTAATAAGGATATTTTTTGTGGTGCGAGGTTATCTACATGGGTGTGACATCACCCGTATGGAGTATTAAATTTCATTAGTGTGCTAAGAGATATCACATCTCATATGGACGACATCACACCCCTAGTAAAGACCGAAAATATCCTTATTAAAAAATTGCTCTATGTACAAAACAAGACATAGAAATATCCAAAATTTGTTGAGTACAATGATAAATTATTACATAGTATATACACCCTAACATAACCCATAATTAAATACTCAAAATACATTCAAAATGACTATTTTTTAAGGAAAAAGTGTACAACAAGACATTATTTTTAGCACAAGGAGATCATAGTCGTTGGTGACGGGTAGATGCAAAATCAGTTGGATGAGGTATGATATTGATTGGGCACAAACCCCCAAATAAAATTTATTGAATTGCATGAAATTCCTAAGCTCTCGGATTTCATATCTAATGGCTAGGGTAATTGTGGTCTCCTTATACTAAAAGTTATTGGTCTTATGTATACAATCATTTTTAAATTAAAGATTACATACAATGAGACCATTTACCTTTGATACAAGGAGGTTACAATTGCTTACAACTATCATATATGATATTTGATATATTTGGTGTGTCATAAAGTTTGAGAAAAATTAGTTTGACCTTAGTCATAAGAATAAATACAACCATTTAAATTCGCATCCAATGGTAAAGATCAATTATGATCATTTTGTACCAAAGATAAATGGTCTTATTATATACTTTTCCTTTAAATTAATACTGCAATATCTCCTAAAGAGTATGTCAAATTTTGACTAAATTGCTCCCTTCATAATTGAGACTCTTGGCATTTTAATAACTTAGCCACAATTAAGTGATCAGAGTTAAATGATGTTGTTCAAAGTTAGGAAAATGGAGCAAGAGTTCACACTAAAAAAGTGAGTTCAACTTGGGGTATAATTATAGAGTTAGGAAAAAGGAAGAAGGGTTCAAAGTTAAAAATGAGTTCAACTGGGTGCTATTATCATTTATCACTTCCCTGGTGTTGTCCTAAGCACCCAAGGGCACACTTAGCTCGGGCCACTTAAGTGGTCTGTTTGTTCAAGGTTTCAAATCACGAGTTAGGATAATCCAGACATTTTCAACGTAATTTTTTTGAAGAGATACTATGATGAAATGCATAAAATTTTCATTCTAATACTAAATGGATCATTTGACCACTGTGATGAACTTGTAAACTGATTTGGCCATTTAACTGACATTTTTCAAAATAATAAAAGATACCACACGACTTTTATTTTTACTATTATTGACGGATGTTATTTCCATAAATCGCGGCTTCTTGATGGCATGTAGGAGAACCCTTATAATGGCAGATTTAACTATAGAATTTAAAGTTCCAAAAATGTGCACCGCTATGAACATTTAAATAAACGGTCCATAAAATGTGCCATAATATAAACCATTTTTAATGCTTTTATTTTTTGTAATTCCATTATTTTCCATGATAAGATTATCGAATTACAAGTTTTCCAGTAGCAATACAATATTTTTGGGTGAGATTTGGGATGCATCTTCATAAAGTCGTGACCGTACAAAATGTGAAAGGAAAGTGTATATTGAGTATCAGGTTAATATATAAAATATATATTGCAACCAATACTTATGGGAAGGGTTGATAGAGTATATGTACTTTATTAAATATTTAGGTATCTATGATTTAGTTTTTATTATTGTCATTTATAATTTGTCTATAAAAGACCAATATATATTAATATGATCAATGCATACTGAGTCTTTTCAGAAAAACCTAAAACTGTTTACACAAAACATATTCCCAATTTTAATTTACCAATGATATGTTCACATTTTCAATTGTCTGATGCTCCTTGTAAATAATTCGAGAGAGGGAGAAGAACCGGAAGAGGGATTGAGATGCAGGCCATTACAGACCCATACTCCTCCCTCCTCAAACTACTGAGAAAACTACCTCCATTTCTACACAAGAATTTTATACAAATAGATCACTTAGTTTTGGTACAAAGAGCTTACAATCATTCTTCCTGATTGAATTTTAAACTAGGCGACATATATTATGCTATTGATTATACTCAAAGTTTTTTTATTTGAAAAAAAATAAAAACAAACTTGTCACGCACCTCAAACTCTTAAGTCTAATATTTGACAACAAAAGGTAATTATAGCCTCCTTATGCCGAAAGTTAATGCTCATGTACTCTAACATCACACGCACGTAACTTAAAAAAATATAACTAGCAGAGTTCTAAGATTAAATAAAAAAGTAAAAGAATTTAATTTGGGGAAGATTTTTATACTTCCCTTATTATATAGAAGCTATATACTCCACTCAATCGAGCCATTTAATTTAGATTAAGTGAGCCACTAAATGTTTGATCTAGATCCAATGCTTCAAAGTATTTTATTTTATTTATTTTTACATATCTTGAATATGAACTTTGGTAAGTACCATCATCTCAATGGGAAACACCTACAAAATTAGTTAAAATATTTTAAAAAATAAAAATAAAAAAAAGCAAAATACCCCTGAAAACTTTCAGGGGTATTTTGTCAGGAATTCTTTTTTTTTATATTCATAGCAAGTGCTAGTATAAAAGAGGAGTAAATACCCAAAAATTGGTATCAAAATGTTTTGTAAAAAAAATAAAAAAAATTAAAAAATTAAAATGTAAAGACGTGACATTATGATTGAGTCCATCTCAACCGGCCATTCAGATCATACGGCTAGATGGGAGGAAATATAAGGGAAATATGGAAAGTTTTCTCTTTAGTTTGAGCTCTTAAAATATGGGTCCAATCATCACATAAATGGCGGTACACAATGGCAGTTAGAGTCGGAGCCAACATCCAACAAATCGATGGTTATATGCGGTCCTGTAGCAAAATGCCCTCGTCATTGAAAAGTTTCCTCTTTCCTGGAAAATGAGATTTTCTAGATAATAACTTGTGTTCTAGAATGTAGAGAGAGGAGAGAGAATGTTAGGTCGGTTTAGTGGTGGGAAAGCAGCTGGTCAAATATTTTGCCTCCAAATTGCCATGAGATGATAAATAAATAAAAAGTGAACAAATGGAGAACGTGCAATGAGAATAAGTCTTAGGGTCAAAATCTATAAATGCCAATAAAAAAAAATTACTGAATCACAAACCATCATTTTTTGTTTTGTTTATATGTTCACGGTAATAATGGAGGGTAGCTTTATGAAATAAATTTGGTTAGTATGTATAGGAAATTCCTTTAAATAAAACTACATCTAGCAACTTAAAAGCTTGTGATGTCTTGTAAATTCATATTATGAGTCATAGAATTTGAAGCTTCAAAAAATGGTACAGATTTTAAGTAGACGACTTGGAAAAAATGTTATGAAATGGACAATAAAGCTTCGTATCAAACTTTTTTTTGTGGATCTGTGATTGTTGAGGTAAAGATAAACAATTTGCTATTTTCCAATACATTTGTTGTGTTTATAGTGGGATTTGAGATATGATTGTGTAAACCTTAGTACTTTTTCAATTTACATTAACGAATGTATGCAGATGCGGTTACATTTTATTTTTATTTAAAAAAATGTTAATAACTATTGTATTTAATGTTATTAAAATTTATCCACAATTTACAGCTACTGCATCTACACCCAATTTATTTTATGGTTTCAAAATTGCCCATTGTCCGATCTTGTAGATGCAAAATCAATAAATATCAGAAAGGAACTCGGGCTTAATTGGTTGCCACTTGACAATTTGCAACACTACGTCTTAAGCTCAATTCCTACCAGGGTAGAGCCCTCTCCCTACTGACTCACCCAAAAAAAAAAAAAATCAATATAGGCTCAATTCCTACCGGGGTAAGGTCCTCTCCCTACTTACTCACCACAAAAAAAAAAAATCAATAAAGATACAAGGTCCTTGGTACCCTACTTACTCACCACAAAAAAAAAAAAAAAAAATCAATATAGGCTCAATTCCTACCAGGGTAAGGGCCCTCTCCCTACTTACTCACCCAAAAAAAACAAAAAATTAATAAAGACACAAGATCCTCGGTACCCTACTTAATCACCCAAAAAAAAAAAAAAATCTACTTACTCACGCAAAAAAAAATAAAAAAAATCAATAAAGATACAAGATCCTCAGTACCCTACTTACTCACCCAAAAAAAAAAAAAGCAATAAAGAAACAAGATCCTCGGTGGGAGAGAGGATGGTCCGGGCTTTTATCTTTTACTTTTTTCCTCACATAAAATTTCATATGTTCAATTATCCGAATTTAACAAAAATACAAGGTTCTCAATGGGGAAATGTACTTTTGGAATGTTGAAAATATAAATTTTAATTTTAAAGTAATTTTGGAATTTTGAAATTCGAAAAATGTTTGGGAACGCTAAAATGCAAAATTTGGATTTAAAAAATAAAAAAATTTAATTTTAAACTAAAATTTGAATTTTCAAAATATGAAGTTGTTTTGTGCTAAAATGCAATTTCGGATTTTCAAAATCCCAAAATGTTGGGGGATGCTAAAATGCAAATTTTGAGATGTTAACATCCAAAGTTGGCAATTTGGTCATTTAAAAAAATTGAGGTATTATTGTAATAACGGGTAAAGAACAATTACATATGTAATGACAAAAAATTACGGCAATATTTAAATAGCATTAAGATATGGATATATATATGTTAATTTCTCTTATTTTTACAAGGAGTGTATTGTATACAAATGTTTCACATGATCATTGTAGGAAGCTGCATCAATCTTGTAGTATCTGTAGTTTGAAACTACTAGGTTATATTTTTTTTAAAAAAATCATTTCAAAACCCTAGTTCAGTAAAGTGTGTTGTTATAGCGAGACAAGTAAAGGGTTTTTTTGTTAGAAAATAGAAAGAGAAAATTATTATATGAAAGAAATTGATTTGATTGGGCTGCAGTCCTACTGAAATAAGTAAAGCCACACCTTAAGAACTCATATAAAATTATAAGTCCTATGGTTTTGAAAAAATTAGGATTTCATGCCCTAAAAATAATGTATACTATAATAAATTATCTAGACCATCGCCTTAAAAATAAGTGTTCACAGATCTAGATCTGCAAGATATCTACCATTTTTTAAGCTTCAAAATTTTTTGTCGGTCTTGAAAATTGATTTTAGAGTTATTATAGAGATTTCCATTGCTGAAAGTGTTTTCTCGATGAGGATTTGAGGTAAGATTTTATTTTGTTTTCATAAAACTTATAGAAACTTCATCCTTATATGAAAAGACTATATTCTAAGCACGTGAAGTGTGTAACGTGTACATGCATGCGGGGATACTTTGTACTTCGTTTGGTATCGTTAGCACGTGCAGAAGTTCGCAAAGCATGCAAATTAGTTTGTTTTTTTTAAATCCTTATAGTTAGGTGACTCCTGTAAGATTTTATTAAAAATAAATTCAAATTTCCTTGTTACGGGTTTATAACCTTTAAAAACCAGGGGTATCTTGGTAATTTGATCCATGTGATTACTTAATCCAAATGACTTAAATACCTTTGTGTGTCATGAATTGGAATCCCAATAGGTGTTTTTTCACTACATATCTTGCTCTAGCTTTATAGCTTGAAACAAGGAGAAGCATTTTTTAAAATGAGCCTCCCATTGAGTCTCTCGGGCCAAAATACATAATACCTTACTTGTTATATTTTCCAAACCAGAGGGGCTATGTATCCCCCTTGGCCAAGCCTAATCTAGCCATCAAGCCTGGCCAACCTATGGGCCAAATTCAAGAACTTGGCCAAAGTAAGTGCCCCAGGTCAGCCTTTATAGGACGTTGTTGGTTAGGCCAAGCTAGTTGAGTGCTTCATTGCATGCCTTGTTTTTAGGGATGCCCATAGGTCAGACATAGATAGGGCTTGAACCAGGTATTTTGATTGGCCTGACTTGGCCAAGACTGATATATATATCATCGAGGCCTTAGCTTGACCAGGCTCAACTTGGATAATAATTTGAGGTTGGCCAAGCTAGGATAAGACCCATATATATTTTTCTAGACCAGGCTCAACTTGGATAATAATTTGAGGTTGGCCAAGCTAGGTTAAGACCCATATATATTTTTCCAGACTAGGGCCAACTTGTTGCAAAAAATTGTTCTGCCTTGGGAAGCTTGGTTTGGGTCAAGTCTGCTAGCCTCAAAGTATGACCAGAGGCCATGTTTGGTGCAGAGGCCCACGGGGACTCGTCGGCCCCATTGGCAGCCTCCTAGTAACCATTGTTGGATGGATGATATTTACAATATCCTACCTTGTTTACGATGCAAATTGGAGAGATTTTCAGAGGAAGATCGCTTAGATCCGTACCATAATCTGATTTTACAAGTGAGATAGAGTGGAAAAAATCCAATTATGATCTAAGGCCAGATCTATTAAAAAACGAATAGATCCGCGCTCAGATTAGTGACAAAGTCAGCATTGATCCAAAAAGCATAAAAAATTGAATAAAATAAAAATAAAATCCTAGATCTAACAAAATAACTGAAAAATAAATGAAAAGATGATGATAAACCAAAAGCACGAAATATTGAATGAAATAATAATAAAATCCTAGATTTAATAAAATAACTGAAAAATAAAAGAAAAGATGACGATGAGGAAAATACTTGGCCGGGCCAATTGGCCCCGGGCACCTGAGGCTTCAAGGCCTCGCACGTATCAAGATCGACTGAGTTTATGCTGTGTCCTCTTTGTTTCTCTTAAGGTTTTGACCAGGCATTGACTTGGTTGGATGGTTTATTTAACATAAGGGATACCGGTTTAATGTCTTAAAGCTAAGGTTTTCTTAAATCTGGGGTTTGCTCACAAGTTTTCTACTGGGCTCTCTCTATCTCTTAGATTTCCTGGCATGCGGGTTCATCGAGTCCATCCTAAAGGGGGTCACAAAGTGTATCTATATACAGGTTCAAATCATATTGTAACGAATATATACCAATTTCAAGCAGATTTACTAGCCACGTTTCTATTTTGGGGGTCAAAAGAAGCACAAATATGACCAAATTTAGCAGTTGTTTTTTTGTGATATTGCACACAAAAAATTAAGCAAAAATAAACTGTTTTTCTATTTTTATTTGATTTATTACTAAAATAGTGATTTTGCAGGATTATAGATCACATGATATGGATCACAGACTATGATGGCCTATGATTCGAGGGTTTATTGGGATAATATGGTCATAAGAGTTCAAGAGTATTACAAAATTTGTCCCTTTAAAAAATAGGTGTCTACATACCTAAAAGAACACAAAATCCAATCCCTATAAGATATAAATTTAAGTTAAAGAATTAAGGTTGTTTAACAAAATTAAGAGAGGGATGAAACACTCGGGGCATTGAACAGAACTGAGACAGACTTAACACTTTTGCCCTAAGGAATGAAGCCGAAATGTTACAAAGATTACAAAAACCAAAAAAAAGAAGAAGCAACTAGACTAGATGTGAATATACAAGTTACAAAAATCAAAGGATTAGAGAAATTTTTGCTCATACGCCCATACATTCATTATTTGAAAATTTAGCTCAAGAATTATGTTTTTGGTTCATAACTCATACTTTATTTATTTATTCTTATTGTTTAAGTTTCCCCAAATTGCTCCTACTTTGGACCTTAAAACTTCAAAGTGTACCTTAACAAGTACAACATCTGATCTCATGATCTTAGTTTACGACAAATTTACTTAAGATCTTGAAAATCAGAAGTTGTTCTAAATATCCATTTTAGACTTTCAAGGTCTAAAGCTGATTTGAGAAATACCTGAGGCCTTTTAAGGTCCAAAGTTGATTTGAGACCTTAACTATATCAACTTCGGCCTTAGACTTTCAAAGTTTGAAGTAAGTTATGAGTAGAAAAATATTTAATTTCAAACCTTCAAGGTCGTGACATTTTGGAAAGAAAAAAAACATAAATTAGATATTAACGTAATGTTCAATTTCTAGGAAAGATTTTTTAAATAAAAGTAAATTTAAGAGACATTTGGGTAGATTTATAAAATGAATATTTCAATTGTCCAAGCCAGTATTTGACAACTCATTTCGAGTTCCGAGTACTCAGGCTCGCCACCTGAGTTCCTCAAGTTGGGTGCCCACTCAGGGATATTAATTTTTTTAAAAAAAATTATAAAAATCTCAAAAGTTAATAATTTATTTGTGATATGTTTATTTTATGTTTTCTATCATTTTTGTAAATATCGGAAATAGCAATGGCAATTGGGACATGTGCAATGGAGATCTAATGGGTGGACCCAACCCCGGGTCTGGGTATAGGTCTAAGGGTGAGACGACTCGATAGCCTGAATCCATTTCGGGTCCGAATCTAGGCAGTCCCTTTGGGTCCGGGTCTGGGTCCAGGTAGTCCCTCTCTTTATTTCTTGAGTTAAACATACATTTTAATTTTTCAATTCCGGTATGGGAATCTTGGAACCCGTCCGAGTCCTATAGACCCGACTCGTTGCCACTCCAAGTTGGTTATGAATAATCATTTTTACATTTTTCCATATCTAGATTATTTAATAATACTCATAGTCACAAATTGATTTTTAAAATATTTTATTTACTACTGTTTTAATCTCATTTAGATGTGTTTTGCTTCAACTCATTTAAACATATATTTATTATTTTTTGGTTTTTTATAAATTTTAATTTTTTAACATTTTATTCTAGCTACTGTACTCGACCGAGTTACACAATCCGAGTACTCAGATTGGGCATGATCGTAGTACTCGAGCTGAGTAATAGTTTCGAACAGTGGTCCAAGCACCCCAATATCGGGTGAGGTTTGTATAAAGTGTCAACGTTATACTATTAAAGTAAGGTGTGCTTCAAAACAATGCCGAAAATATAGTTTCGGTGCCGCAAAACCTTGCGATGATATGAAAATCTATTGTTACCTCAAATTATGAAATTTATTTAAAGTTTCATAGATGGTGACGACCAAATAAATCTTTAAACACTTGAAAATAGATAATCCAAATAACGTGTTAAAAAATAAAATATTTATTTGATTGTCTATGAATGTCGAGATTGGGACGATTGATTTGAGGGTTTTCCAGTTTACAAACAGTATTAACTAGAGGGTTTTTTAGGTGCACTGTACGGTATACGGGTGAGACCTTATATAATATTTTTTTCCAAATATTTTTGTTTTCCTTATCGTAGGGTATTTTAGGAAGTTTTCCCGTTCCCTCCCATTATCCAGGACCTTCACCTCGCTTCAATTGTCCTGGCTCCTCTCTCTACCGGTCATCTTTATCTATACCGCAGTTTCTCCGACCCGGACTCTCTAACTCCAACATTTGTTTCCAACCCAATCAAACCCTACTTTTTCCGCTATCTCCCGCCATTATCAGAAAACCCAAATTCATGTTTTCAGAGATTTTAAAATCCTTCATTTATTTCCGTCTTCTATGAAGATTTAAGCTGGTTTTACTACTGCAATTTCCATGAAATTCAAAGTGAGCTTAAATGGTGGCTTCCCTCTTACCTCGGTGCAATATCTCAGCTAAAATGGACGCCTTCGATACCTTGTCGCCGCAACTCTTCTCTGGGCATGGCCATGTTAAGCTCCCTTTTTTAAACCCATTGACCTGGTAAGTTTTTTTAGTCTTTTAATGCTCTCTGAATTATATCAATCCTTTTGTTTGATGATGGTTCAAACAAAAAAAAGAAAAGAAAAACATTGATGGGTAAAATGCTGTTATGCTTTGTCTAATATCATTTATTTTTGTGGTTAAACTACTAATTTGATTGGTTCTAAGCTTCTAATGGAGATTTTTACTTGTTCACGATGTAATGGAGCTGAACTGCACTTCTGTGCTAAGTATTGAGCTACATTGGATTGATATTAAACTATTGCAGCAGTCATTATCAACAAAGAAACTGTTCATTACTACGGCTTTATTTGAATCGGGGCACTGGCTTTTGGACCAGTGGTGTGACATTTAAGTTGTATGAGGTGGTGGGTTTGGAATTTCTCCTTTTTATCTAGCCCACAGAACCAAAGAAAACAATTGGGCTTGATTCATGAAAATGTCTTTTCAAGACTGCAAGTTTCGTTTTTGGAAGCAAATGTGATATCTGGAAGTAAATGCACAAATTAAAGGTAATTATGCCTAAAATCCGAATGGGTACATTTGCCAAGTTAATCAATGATTAACTCTAGTGCTATTTCTTGATTGTGTTATCTTGGAAACCTGCATTTAATATGTTGGTCTATGTGTGATGAACCCTGGTTTTTGTATAGAGGTTTTTTTTTTCTTTGTCAATATCAGTGAGATGGACGTACACTTGTTTATGCTAATTTCATTGCATGGAATGATTCTCTCTGTTGCTATTTTTCTTGGGAATCAAGTTTATTTAGTACACATGATTTGCCTTTAATTATATCACCCATTCGCAATTGCCACGATTCTCATTAGTAAATAGCTCATGAAGTGCTATTGGAAGAACCATTAACTTCAATGAGGAGACTTTGGACGTTCAAAACTTTAACTATAGGGGATTCATGAGAGTTTTATTGTCTCATTGGTTTACATTTTTGCAAAATATGAGCCATATACTTATTCTGTTAGTTGGAGCCTTGTTTCTGATAGTTTGAACTTCTAAATCGCAAGGAGTTTCTTGTTTGAGATTGCTGTTTTTCTTGTATGACCATGTTCATGGTTTTGATACAAGACAAATAAAAAATATCTCATTTAAAAAATTAATTTTATCATTCGATGTTGCATTCTTGTCTCTCATAAATCTATCGCAGAGATAATCTTCCTTTGGATGAATTTTGTATATGAAGCATTTGAGAATGTGAAACTATTAGCCCTTCTGAATGTGGTCATCTTCATGACTGTAACTTATATGACATGCATAGCTTGAGAAATTTGATTTTTGGTAGGTACATGTGTCGAGTTCCTATTCAGAATGTTTGCAGGAATACTCGCCGTGCAGGACTTGTTAATCATTTTCAACAATCACCACTAATGTCCACTAGGAAAGGTAACATGCTGCAATCCTAATCTTTTCTTCTTTTTGGAACACAAACAGGGAATGGCTTTTCTTTTCAGTTTTAGTGTGGTATTCTCGCTTTGCACTTCTGAATAAGGCACTTGCTAGGAATTTGCTTGGCAATCCTTGTCTATTCCTTGTGATTGTGCACTGGAAGTGTAAGTATAGTAGCTTCCATTGATTTTCTATACTATGAATGAAAGCAAATCCATCATGCATTTAGTATAGAGGATTCTGGTGGTTGGCCATATGTATCCCTGAAGAGGGGTGCTAAGGGTCATAATTCAGCTTGATTGATGAACTGGTGATTGCTGTGGGTATACTAGAAGGTGTTCATGTCAGAGATATGGGCTTCTCAGGTGGTAGCATAGTGGCTCAACCAGGACTTGCTTGGGTTATTAGATCTAGGTTAACTTTCCCTTCCTCCTCCCTACGTTGCTCTCTCCCATTCGCCCTCTTCCTCGCTCCCTCTCTCCCTCCCCCTCCCTCTCTCTCTCTCTCTCTCTCTCTCTCTCTCTCTCTCTCTCTCTCTTTCTCTCTCTCTCTCTGCACGAGTGTGTGTGTGTGTCTCTTGGGTGGGTGGGGAGGGAGAGGGGGTGGTTAGGGTTGGTTTCCTTGCCTGCCTCCCTCTTTCTCCTTGTGTGCATGTGGATGTGATTGGTCGAATCTTGCACCCTTCAACCTCCACACCCACCCTGTTGGCCACATTCTGATCCCTACTTATGTTCTTCGTCCATATTGCTTGCTGAGATATGTTGAAATGGTGACAAATGAATTTCTGACACTTATGGTGTGTGATGTCATTATTCCCTTGTTGTGAATTGATTCTTTGTTTATTTTCAAATTGGCAATTTTGGTTATGAATTAAAAAAAGAAAAGAAAAAAGGCAGTTGGTTACTGACAAAATACAAGCAGTTGGTTATGAACAACTAAAAAAGAGAGAGTTAATTACGGATCTGAAACCAGGAAGTCTTCCTTTTTTAGATTTTTTAGTGTATTCTTCTTTCTTGTATGATTGATATTTATCTCTTGTCAAATAATAGAGTTGTAAAAGAGTAGAATACATTTCTGAAGACCACTTATTGAGGGCCACAACTCTGTAAGGATCTTGAAAGATATATTTTAAAATTGTAGAAGAGTAGAGAAATTCCTAAAGACCCCATATTGACGGCCAAAGCTCAGTGAGGAATGTCCTATATATGTAGCTTTAATGAGGATGCTCCATTATTAGCAAACGTTTTGGGCTGCCCCATTAACTGGCCAATCAGGTATACTTCTAGTTGTTATCCAGGCACTGCTTCTGTCTAGATGCATGCAAACAAGTACTTTTTTTTTTTGGATGAACATGTAAACAATTGCTTGTTACAAGATTTGGATATTTTTGGTCCATTCTTTTTTCACCTATTTATGAGTCATATTTTTTATGCAGCAAACAGTGTTTTTACTTAGTTGGAACAATCCAACTGAGTTATGAATATACAGACATTCTTATAGGTAGATGAATGTGGATTTTGTCTTTTTCTTTTCTTATTTTCATAGTTAACAAGAGAGACTGCAGGTTTGATCTTCTACTGTTCTTGAGTCTTTAAGGTGAAGCGAATAAATAATTGTCCATAGAGATGTGTTCCTTATTCCATGGTAGTTACTTTAAACTGTTTCAGCCAGCATACAAACAACAATCCAGGGATCATGCGAGGTGCTATGGAGTATACAAGCTGATCTAGAAGATGGTCAGCTTTTGTACATTACAGGGGATACTCTTGCTTTAGGTGGTTGGGATCCAGCATTGGCTATTCTAATGTATCCTTGTGAAGAAGAAGCTAATGTTTGGCAGACAGAAATAGAGGTAAATAAATTAAACTCTGGTGCTATGCATATTCCATTTCTTGGTGGTTACGGGTTAGATGTCTTTCATTTTGTTCCTTATTTGACAATCATCGCTTGTTTATAATATGAAGTTAGCTGAGTGGACATTTGTGCACATATTTTGTCCTTGAAACATGCAATTAAGTTATGTTCACTCCGTTATAAAAAGCTCAATTACTTGAAACAACACTTCCATTCACTTGTTAATGCTTGTAATTTGACTAATTTGTTATTCTTAGTTGTAATTGTTCTACTTGGTTATTACAAAAGCCTTACATTTGAAAGATCACTTTTTTGACTTATGCCATACTCTGAATTGCTTCTTATTGACAGGTGCCTTGCGGGGTGAATATCAGATACAACTATTTTGTGAAGGAAGACTCTTGTGCTTCTTGTGATATTGTTTGGAGACCAGGACCTGTATATTCTTTGTCGGTACCATGTTCCTTTGAATGTTCACATGAGAAGATTATAGTTAAGGATATCTGGATGAAGGCAAAAGTTGAGGGAATGCCTCTTCCTTCATGGGGTTCATGGCTGGTGGAGACAGACCATCTCATCCAATTGGCTAAGCATCAAACTCTTTGTGCAGGTATTGTGCCTTAAAGATGTTAAGCTATTCTTAATGGGTATCTTCTTAAGTAGCTGAACTTAAATTGTTCCAGTGCTTTGGCAGGTACGAGTGACTTATTGGAAATGCTAAAATGCGAGAGTTCAGAAGTGAATACGCGTCTCGATGATTCTTCTTCTAGTGAACTGTCTTGCAAGGAGTCCTCTTCTATAGATTTTGAAGAGCTACTATTTTTTGGTGATCTGGGGTTCCTGAATTCCTCCAAACGAGATGAGCCAGTTGAGGAACCATGGTTTCCTGAATCCTCTCTGTCAATACACAAAGATATTGAACCTGAAATGGATTCTTTAGCTCACTACGAGGACTTGGAACAGGTTAGTGCAGACACAAATATGGATTCTTTAGTTCCCCATGAAGGCTTGGAACTGTTCGAAGACGCAAGTATGGAAACTTTGGATGATCGCATTATGGATTTCTTAGTTCCCCATCAAGACATTGCAGAGGAAGTATCTAAATTTGAGATTAATAAGGAGCAGCCTGTTTCTACAGTCATAGTTATAAACTCTTCAGTATGTACCATGCAGAGGGTTGCTGTTTTAGAAGATGGAAAGCTGGTTGAGTTATTACTGGAACCCGTAAAAAATAATGTACAGTGCGGGAATGTATATCTTGGGGTAGTGACAAAGCTTGTTCCTCATATGGGGGGAGCATTTGTGGATATAGGAATTTCTAGGCCATCTCTCATGGAAATAAAGCGGAACAGAGAGCCATATGCATTCCCCCCATTTTGTACTATGACTAAGGAAGGGGAAGGCAATGTTTCTTTTATCAGTGACCTGAAAGAACGTTCTCATACTCATAGCATAGCAATGGATTTACATGACGAGGATGAGGATATTGATGACTTTTTGGAGGCTGAGCTTCAGGATGAGTCTTTACCCTTGATTGAGTCTTCTGAGCTACATGATGAGCCTTTGACTAGTGAGACTTTTCAGGAGCATGGGTTGGACAATAAGTATGGTAATTTGGATCCTCTTAATGAGAAAACAAATGGGGTACATGTTTTTAATGATTCGCCCATTGGTGAGACCAATTTTGACGAGTATGTTCGAGGAAATGGGCACTTAGTTGGAGCTCATAGTAAATCTCTGCCTTTAGAAACCGAGAACTTCGATGAGTGTAAAATATCACATCATACACAGCCTCAGGAAGATCTCCCTATTGAGGCCATTGATTCAAACATAGAACAGAATAAATGGGCTAATGTTTCCAAGGGAACAAAAGTACTTGTACAAGTTGTGAAAGAAGGGCTTGGGACAAAGGGTCCTACACTTACTGCTTATCCAAATCTAAAAAGCAGATTCTGGGTATGTCTTATTTTTTGCATTTCATTATTCTTTTCTCCTTTCCTTTCTGAAGTAGAATTGGGCAAACTATGTTGAATATTCTTTTTGAGGTTTAGCTTTATGCAAGCCATATTGACTTCATTCATGTTCTTGGGGACGTGAAATTGATGGAGAAAACAATAATTTTTATGTAAAAAGGAATGGGTTTGGGCTTTGTGGTTTAAATTGCCATGATTGCTTTCTCTTGAGCTACATTATAGATGTCATTCATTTTTTTCTTCATATGGAGAATGAAAGTGCAGTTTGGCTAGTTTCATTGTTGAAACAATTTACTCCTTCTCTAGTTAAGGGAACCTTTGTGTAGGGTGACGATCTTGCTCCGGAACCTCGATCCCACGGTTCCTGCAAGGGGTCTTGTAGGGACCCTGTTTTTTCGATTTTGAGATCTTGCTTCCAAAAAGGGGACCACATTCCATCCATCAGTGGAATCCAGTTCCATTTCGAAATAGATTCCCGCTCCCATCAACCATGGTCCAAGGTTTTGGTACATTAAAATCTTGGGTTCCATGTTTGGTTGTTCAACTTTCATTAACAAATGCTATTAGGTTAGAGATTGCCATTCTCCGAAGTTCCCATTATTTAGGAATCATAAATTCCATGATGTTAAAATCCAATCCCTTTTTCGCATAGCACGTAGTTCCATTATTTTAGATTCTTAATTTGAACTAGGCATAGTCTAGAGTGGCCCATTGTTTAATTAGGGCTACTGTGGAAGCACCCTTCTTAGTTGTGAGAATACATATTTCATTTAAAATTTTATCTTTATAATGTCTTATTGTTTTAGAGTCTTAAATTTGATTACAGTTGTGAAATGAGAATATATGCTTCCATTTCAAGCTTTAAAAAGCTTCTTTTACATCAGTCACGGAGAGAGAGAGAGAGAGAGAGAGAGAGAGAGAGAGAGAGAGAGTAGTC